CCGCGCGCTCTTCTCTCTCTCTCTCTCTCTCTGCTTCTCTCCCTCTCTCTCATCTCTCAGTCTCTTCTCTCCCTCTCTCTCTCCTCTCTCTGTCTCTCTCTCTCCTTCTCTCTCTCTCTCTTCTTCTCTATTCTATATATATATATATATATATATATATGGTTCTAGGACAAATACCCCGGACAATCACCCCCCGACAATTACCCCCGGACAATTACCCCCGGACAATTACCCCCCGCATGCCGTTTACCCCCCATGCCATTCACCCCCGACAAATACCCCCGGCCAATTAACCCCAGACATTTACCCCCCGACATTTACCCCGCGACATTTACCCCCCGGCACATTACCCCCCGACATTTACCCCCGGACATTTACCCCCCGGACATTTACCCCCGGCGATTTACCCCCCCGGACAATTTACCCCCGAGACATTTTACCCCCCGGACAATTACCCCCCGGACAATTACTCCCCGGACATTTACCCCGGACCCCCCCGGACATTTACCCCCCCGGACCCCCCGGACATTTACCCCGGCCGGACATTTCTCCTCCGGACAATTACCCCCGCGGACATTTACCACCCCCCCCCAGGCAAGCACGCACGCACGCACGTGTATGTGGGGTTTTTTCGCGTGCGCGCGCGAGAGAGCGTGAAAGAGAGAATATGGGGAGAATATGCGAAGAATACGCGAAAGAGCGGGAATATAGATTACCCAAGCGATGTTTCGGCCGTCTATCATGATTGATCCCTCCGCAGCTTCGACTAAACGGAAGAGAGCCAGCGTGAGGGAACTCTTTCCGGCTCCGGTTCTCCCGCAAATCCCAATCTACACCAGCGGGAAGAGAGCACAAAATGGAGAAAACGGTAAAACTCAAAATCGGCAATAATTTTGTTAAAATGTCGCGAATCGTCCGCTGGAAGTGAATTCGCGCGCTGTAACCCATTGATTTATCTGTCGTTGCATTTCAAATATACTACTGATTTCTTATCGATGATCGATAGTCTTACCGATAGATACTATCGATACTATACTGCCACCTTTCTATAGGCCACGCACGCAACAGTACCCGCGTGTAACGTGTACCTTCTCCTGGCCCTGGATGTTGGCCGTGACCTTCCGCAGAACGAGCGGAAGTCCGGACCTGTAGCGCAGGGAGTAGTCCTCAAATTCCATCTCTCCCTTTTCCGGCCACTCATCAGGTGGTGGCTGGAGCTCATCACCATCATCCGATCGCCACGGCGCCTATCGGAGGCAATTCACACTAACTTATTCAAACCCATACATGGTTCGCAAGCGTAGATTTCCGTCGACTCGACAGTAAAAACATACCTATACAAACATGAGCATGTACGCATGAGAAAACGTAAAATAAAGTGTTGATAGTTTAATGTGTTCATGTGCTAGTGCCCATGTGCTCTTGATAAATAGTATTGTTATATATACACGCATTTCTATGGATTCTATGTAATACGTTGTTACAATATACAAGTATATTAGTATATTATGTAATTGTATGCATTCACTTCATTAGACGAACAAAGAGACGACTGTCTGACCTAAGAGTAAGTAACCGATTTGTATGTAAACACAGTTCGGCCGCTAGATGGAGCCAGATGTTTACCTCTTGCGGTATCGTCGCGTATTCGGCTACGCGCTCAATGGAGACAAGGTTCGTCTCTAGTTCACTCATGATGAGAATCAACATGCTCAGCGTAGACGTGACCTGCAGTGTAGAGACGGGAAGATCCGATTTTAGACAACCTACACATATACACGGCTAGAGCATTTTGGAGTCTGGGGGCTGTTGTCAGACACAAAATTATTCTTAACATTAGCGTTAACCTCACGATGTTCCTGACAACGGCCCCCTGATTAGGATAACCACGTTCCATCCCCTATTCTGTTATGTCGGTCAAGCTAGACAAGTTTATACGGGGTTTTCACGCGTTCACGACAAACTGCCGACTTAGTGTTGCCAAGCATTGTCTGCAGGGGCGGCGCCAGGGTATTTTCTTAGGGGGGGCGAAACCAAGGGCGGTGTGGAGGAGCACGCGAAGGGGGGTCTGGGGGCTCTCCCCCATGAAATTTTTGAAATTAGACCCCCTAAGATGCGTTTTCTGCGCGAGCAGGGGGGTTCCGGACCCCCTGGATCCCCCTCTGTACACGCCCTTGGGAACTGTAGACTGATACCGTGTGCGCTTGCACTGACGGGTGGATTCCAGGGGGTAGATTCATGATTCATCAAGCTGCCTACGCAAAATATTTTGCGTAAATCTTGTGTACGCAATCGACGTTGCTTAGTTGCGATTCATAACACAGCTATTTAGTAAATTTTCGTATGATTTCGCGTACGCAAAGCGCAGGCCCGTAGTCAGCTTCTATTGGGGGGGGGGTTCGTTTTTCAATGTTGCAATTTGCTTGGCAGGGGCGTGAACAGGATTTGTAATAACCATAGTTGGGAGCACGGCAGAAGGGGGGTCTGGGGGCGCCTCCCCCAGAAATTTTTTAAAATTACACCCCCTCAGATGCGTTTTCTGCGCGAGCAAGGGGGCGTCTCAGACTCCCTGGCACCCCCCCCTGTACACGCCCCTGCTGCGGCGCGGAAGCGGACCAGGGCGAGGGAGCCAAGCGACGGAGCGGGGGGAGGGGTGGGAAGGGGGGGTGGTTCACTGTTCACCCTCCCGATGGAGATTTTGAAATTATTACAGTAAAATGGAGCGACCTGAAGTGAAATTCTGCAAATTTTCCCAAAAATTTTTTTTGCTTGGGAGGGGGGCTCGGGGGGGGGGTTCGTTCGAAACCCCGCAACCCCCCTGGCTACGGGTCTGCAAGCGAGGCGCGTTTTAGGTGCGATTCATCAAGCTAAAATTTACGTAAACCTATGCGTAACTTTACACGGGCTGACGACGCCTGTGCGTAAACCACTCAAAATTTCCGCAGGTGTTTTTACCGCAGCATGCATTATTTTATTAGAGAAAACATTGATAAAGTTACTACTCAACTAATAAATAAATAAGATAATTACCATACTATCACCAGACAGGCGGGGCCTTTGAACGGGCTTTTTTTGTCATAGCGATTGGGGCAGGTTGTTGGTCGTGCATGAAGCGGAGTTGCGTAGTTGAGCGGCGCTCACGGTGCAACGTGAAACGCCGTCGCACTTTACGACACGCCGCACTTGTACGTGCCAACAAGCACGCACGTGTACGTACACGCGCACGCACGCCACGCCGTTTACGTACGCAAGCACAGCACGTGTACGTGCACACGCACGCACGTGTAAGGTGCACACACGCCACGCACGTGTACGCAGAGTGCGGGGAGGGCGGGCTGGGTAAGGAGTTTTTTTTATTATGAAAAATACTGCTGGCAGCAACACGGCTGCGAATCTGGAAAACAACCAGGCTGAAAGGGGTGAGTGTAGGGTCTACCTCACAGTGGGATATATCACTGATTACACCAACTTTAAAAACACTAAGATATATAACGGTAGGGATCATGAAAGTGGGGAAAACAGTGCCGGGAATTTTCGTAAATTTATGGCTTTAAAGGGTGACGGTGGTCTTGGATCATGCCTGTTCGAAAAACTGCTGGGCCTCCACTTAAACTTTTGAGAAATACAATTCAAGCCAAAGCAGTTGTTACTACAAACAGGCAATGTTGTTTAGTCCAGACGAGACAGGGATACCAGCAGAAGTGTTGCGAAAGGAGGTGTTTGATCTAAGCGCTGAGCGCAGATCTTGCGCGCGAGTTCGTGCGCAAGCGTGCACGGCGACCGCCCGGGGGAACGTCCTCACGACACGTGTGCGACACGCACGCACGCCACGCACGCACGCGTGACGTGTCACTGCTTATCGAGTGTTGAACACAAATCATACAAACGAAAATTGAGGACAAACTATCACATCCCCAGACACTCCTGGTAGACAGCATAGAGCCATATGGTTTACAATACAAGAGAGGCGCTCAGTTTAGCCGTTCTATGCGTATGTGCTTCGCACAGGTGAGTTGTTTATTGCTAGGTACGCATTTCAACAGCCAGCGCTACGATGGCGTAGGGATTTACCACGGAATTCATCAACATTGGCGTTACGCAGGTGCTCGCTGCGTTGATGTATCGCAACTACGAGCTTGGCGTAGCTCGTTACTTCGTT